CCTGAAAAAAATATTGATGGGAGAGAAATATAATTGGGTTATTACTTTTAAATATGGAAAAATTAATTGGAATAATTTGATGTCATTGAATCATAATTGAATGTTTGTAAAATCATTCCCTAGGCCTTCTCATTTTGATAATTTATATTCTCTAATTTTCTCGTAACATTTTACTTTTGATTAGTTTTTTTTAAAAAAAAAAAATCATTCAACCATTCATTTGTCCAGATAAAATAGAAGTTAAACAATTATAGTGCTTGGTAGAAATTAAATTACAATCCATGTGGGCTCGACATCCTAACTTTTATACTATATTACAAAACTTGACACAATACACTTGCGGTATAATTCACATTGCATAAAACGCGTGACAACATGTGAATTTTCAGAAGATATGTAATTTATGAACTTATCACGCTCGTTGGTTTTAAAACCATTTTTAATCATGCAAGAATCAAATATGCCACTGCTTGGGTGCATGTTTTAAGCCATATAGATATTTATTCAACTTACACACTTTGCTTTCTTGTCTAGATTCTACAAAGCCTTAAAGTTGATCCATGTAAATCTCCTCATCTAGATCTCCATTCAAAAAGGCAATTTTTACATCCATCTGATGAATTTTAAATTTATAAATTGCAGTCACTGCAATCACCAATCTAATAGACATGGCTCTAGTTACCGGAGAAAAAGTATCAAAAAAACCAATGTCAACTTTTTGTTAAAATCCTTTTACAACAAATCTAGCCTTGAATTTATCGACTGTACCATCTAACTTATATTTCTTTCTAAGGATCGATTTACAGTCAATAGTTGTACAACCAGGTGATAGTTCTACCAATTTTCACGTGTTGTTGAAAATGAGAGAATCCATCTCATCATTTACAACATCTTTCCAAAATACATCAGGTAAAGTAAAAGTTTCTTGTAAAGAAAGTGGAGTCTCTTCAGTATTTAAAACATAGTAGTCAAGGCCAAAGTCTTCTTCAACTCCAGCTTTTTACTACTACTAGATTCAATTTGGAAATGTTCTTGGTTTGAAAAGGAGTAGAAGAACTTGGTTGTGATAAAATATTTTGTTTTAATTCTTCACCCCCACTATTTTTGGTTTTGAAAGGAAATTTACATTCAAGAAAAATAGCATCACCTGACTCAAAAATAATATTTTTTTCAATATCTAAAAATCTGTAGACTGTACTATTTACTGCATATCCAAGAAAAACACATGGTAGTTTTAACACCCAATTTTGGTATTTTAGGATATGTTAGCCTTACAAAAGCTAAACAGCCCCAAACCCTTAAAAATCCCAAGTTTGGCTTGTATCTTTTCCACGGCTCAAAAAGGTGTGATTTTTGTTTTCTTATGTAGCACCCTATTCAACACATAACATGAAGTTAAAATTGCCTCACCCCAAAGATTTGAAAACGCACCTGACTCAATAAGAATGGCATTTATCAAATCAATCAAAGTTCTATTTTTTCCTTTTAGTTACACCGTTAAATGCAGGTGAGTATGGTGGAGTAGTCTCATGAAGTATTCTCAAAGACTGAACAACAGAATTAAAAGTAATAGAATCATAATCTCAGCATCTGTTACTTCTAAGTCTTTTGATTTTTCTACCGAATTGATTTTCAACTTCTTGGAGGAAAACTTTGAATTTATAAAAAGCATCACTTTTATTTTCAATAAATAAATATAAGCATATTTTGAAAATTGTCAATAAAAGTGATAAAATATTTATTTCCTCCACGATTTAAATTTTTTCAAATTCACAAAGATTGGTATGAATTAATTCTAACAATTCGATATTTTTTTCAACGCTTATTTGAGGCTTCTTTGTAATTTTTGCTTGGCTGCAAATTTCACATTTTTTGAAATCATTTTTCAGCTTGGGTGTAATCCTAAACTACTCATGATTTCCACATATATACTGTTTTTATGACATAAACGAGCATGCCAAAAATTTACGAAGAAAGCATGTAGACAAAAGTAGATTTTGTTTTATTACTCTCAATATTCAATTTGAATATTCCATCACAATCATAACCCTTACCCACAAATAAACCCTTTTTGGTAATCACATATTGATCAAATTCTATAGTATGTCTAAAGTCAGCTTTATTAAGAAGAAAACTTGACATCAAATTATTCTTCATTGATAGTGCATCTGTGCATGTAAAACATTTTTCAAAGTTAGCACACGTCCCAATGTGAATTTCAGTTCAACCTCACCACTCCCAACTATCTTGGTTTTTGCTAGAATCACCAAGCATGATGGATTTTTCTTCTTCGAATGGAGTATAATTCTTGAACCAAACTTTATCATAGTAGGCATGCCTATTGGCAACAGATTCTGACAACCTATCCTTCAACATAATGTACCATGTTAATGTCAATAATCATTGCCACAAGTGGCTCTTCAATTACATTAGCCTTAGGAAAAGGATGTTGTTTTCGAAATCTGCAATTTCAAGCAATATGCCCACTTTTGCCACAGACGAAAGATGCATTATAAATTTAATTTTGAGAATGAGGGCCTTCATTCTTATTTTTCTGATTCAGGTTTCACCGACTGTGAGGTTTACTATGAATTTTCATATTTTTCTTTCCTGGCTTCAACTATTTCTGGAAAACTGATTATTGGGCAAGTGATTATTCGCGGTAATTAAATTTACCTGCATGCCAGAATGTCCATTGCTTTCTTGTTTCATCAGTGCATCTTGGCCTCTAGCTTCCTCCTCTACTCGAATGCGAGTGATCAAGGTCTCCAAGGACGTCTCTTTCTGCTTATGGCACATTGACTTTTGGAACTCTCTTCATGATGACGGTAGTTTGTCAATGATTGTAGCCACGACAAGATCGTCCTCAATTTTGATGCCTTTAGATCTAACCTATACTACAATCATTTGAAAATCTTGTGCTAGTTCTGCCACAAATTTTTCATCCACTATTTGATAGTGAAAGAAGCGACTAGCAGTGTATTTCTTTGCACCAGCTTCCTCGGTGTCATATTTATTCTATAAAGCTTTCCACTTTTTCTTTGTCCACTAGGAAATTCAAGATATAACGCCAACAATTATACTCATCTCTATTATATTTTTCTACCTTCCCTTAATGAGCTTGAAGTTCATCTTCGTTCATATTGTCGGTAGAGACCTTGTTTGGATTCTTCTCGGTGAGGATATAGGAGACTTTGGGAAGACTGAGGTAAAATAGAATTTTGCTCTTCCGCCGCTTAAAATGAGCCCCCTAAAACGAAAGGGCTCGTTGAGATCTCCAACGTTGTCAACGGGATTCTCATGTGCTAACTCCTTTTGTTTGATTCTCCTTAAAATTGCTGGTAAAATTTCAATAATAAAAATGGAGTTACAAAATGAATAGAAAGATAATGAAATCAGACGGACTAAAGCGCAGATATCTCGCTCTCTTTAAGGAGATTCAAGTCCTCTGAAATTGGCAAAGCCCATAACACGATGCATCAAAACTTCTCTATGACTTGTCCCCTCATGATACAACAACCCGATCATTCGTCGAATGGCTCAAACAAACTTTATACAAGTAGTTGAGTTCGAAACTCCACTAAAAGAAACACCCTTCTTTTCTTAATAGTCTCTCAAGAAAAATGAGTGAAAATATAAGAAGAAAAGTTAAAAGAATCGTGATTGTTGTGGTGGTGATGAATGGTCAAGAAATGGCCTTATTTAAAGGTAAAAATAGGCCACCCAAAATAAAGAGGTATCATAAACACATGAACCCTTTCACCTTTCATTTTCCAAACCTCCTAACCCTTCACTTTCCTAACTCTCAAAACTACAAACTTAGTAAAAGAAAATATAATGAATGAATTTTTAATATTAAAGTGCTGAAACATCAAATCATTCAAATCGTATTTATTCCTAATTAATATTATTTAATAATTTATCGGGAATAAAAACAAGTAAATCAAGCTCTTGCTTACTATGGACAGTCAGGACAGAGACCCATCCTGATAAATACAATGAGAAAAAGTACAAGAGTTTTATTTTTTATTCATGAATCAAATTTGAATAATATCTCTTTCCCTTCAAAACTGACCTGGGAGTTTGGAACTTCCATAAGAAGAATATTCAAATGTTAATGTTTTGGATTTTGCTATGTGTACATCAGGTGTACATTCTTGTCTCCCTATTATGAGGGAGTGTTAATTTCGGTGTACGAATAGCAAAATTATAATATATTTTTTTTGTATAAGTTGGTATATAAAATTTAAAAATTCTATTCGTATAAATTTATTTGACAGATGGGATTACAAGTGCTAGGTTCTGAGCTAACAAAATTCATTGATTGATTTAACCTTTTTTGCTTTTGGTCAAAAATGATTTGAAATTTTGCCAACTCAACTGTACATAATGGAGTAAAATAATGATTTACATACAAATCAGATGTCAAAAAGAAGTAGGAAATTTTTTTTTTTTTTTTTAATTTGAATGAAAAAATTATGATCCAAGTAAAGTATGTGTATGTAAATTATTATATACAAGTAACACAATCTTTTCTCAAATATTAAGTTCTGTTGGATGAGATTATAAATGCTTGATGACATTGTCAATTATAATTATCCTTAATTCAACTTCAATTAGGTTCCTATAGTTTGAGAGAGTGAGATTGTTGGGAATAAATAATAATTTCTACCACGAAAACATTCTAAAGTTTTATCAGTTGATATCAGAGGAACGAATAATCATGGGACTGGACTGGACTGGGCAAATGAAAGAATTATTATTTTCTCTAGGCAATATACTAACGATTAACATTGGCAAATGACTTCATATAGTTCAATATCCATAGGGAAACAGTAAGAGAAATTTAAATCTCTCAACATTACAAGATTCATCAAAATTGTAAAAGAACCATTCCCAGAATCTGCAAAATCAAGGATGATAGCGAAAGAAAATGCCTCTAAATATATTTCAACCACACTGCAGCAGCCAAAATCTTCCAAATCAATAATACATCAGACTCAACGATCACGGATCCTGGAGGATGACCAAGTGGAGGTTGACTTTGGGGGACCTCCACCAAAGGAAGTTCTACGATCATCGCGCCACCTGTCACTGGGTTGAGATGGACGATCGTCCATCCTGCTACCACTACCACTGACCCACCGATCACTTTCAGCAGGCTGGGCCTGGGCCCCACCACCTTCTGCTGACATACGTTTGGACCTGAGCACATACTTACCTGGAGTTGGTGCAGCTGCAGCTGCAGGTGGAGCAGTAGCAGTGGGTGCTGCCTCCACTGGAGGTGGCATGGCAGACAGATCGGCAACTCTAGAAGGCCTGGTACTTGATCTCCCCAAAAGCTCTTCTCTCCTCTGCCTTTCTTTCTCCTCCAGTTCCCTCTCACGTTGCCTCTGCTTTTCAGCAATCTCATCCAACTTGGCTTTACGCTCAGCTTCCTCTCTCTTCCGCCTCTCCGTCTCTGCAAAATCCAATCATTCAGAAGCAAATGTTACATTATACCTCATAAATGCAAAATACATGCAAAGGTCATCAGGATATGTATTCTTGCATACTCAAAATACGACTAAGTCCAAATACCATAAACTGTTCAATTCTTGAAATATCATAATTTTGGACCATGGGCTCCAACATAGGGCGCGAACTCCAAACCCACTATATCTCTTGGACAAGTGAAGGAGTGCAGGAAAAAGAAGCATGGATACTTCGTCAGAAACATCTATTTATTTGATGGAAATTAAGTTAAACATAAACCAGGGGCAGAAAATAATTGGAAGCATTAGAGCAGAAAGTATATCCTGAAATAATCAAAACGCGACCAAAAGTATAGGACGAGTAAATTATAGGTCCTAAGCAACGACTAACTAAGGGGCTTATATGTTCGGTGACAATAAGCATGTATATCTGTATTGTTAAAGCCCGTTTGACAGCTTTGGAAATTGTTGCTTTTAGGAGATGTGATGGTGACATTCTCATGAAAGAGAGTCTTGCATATCAAAAATATTCATACGAAAAAATACTGAATGTAATTAAAAATAGTAATTCCAGGCTTAGATGGGGTAGGAGAATGTCACGTCCTGCAACAAAATTTATAGAGCAGCATTTCAGTCTACAGCACATTTCAGTAAATCTGATTAGGCATGCTATTAACCAAAATCAAATCCCTACAATTGTATTTGGAATTCAAATAGGAAAATGTACCTTCACGCTTCCGTGCTTCATCCTCTTCATGCAATCTTATTTGTCTCTCCTCTTCACCTCTCAGGTAATGTATAAATTTCCGCTTAACCTCTCTTTCCTGTTTCCTTGACTGGATAATTTGGTTGATTCGCTCCTCTCTCTCTGTCTCAAGTCTGTTAAACTCAGTCTCCCTACGACCAACCACTCTCTCTTGGAACAAATTCTGTACAAATAGGTTCAAGTTAACTAAGACTTACTGAAGAATGCTACTGTGCAAAACGAACTGTACTAAGAAGTTAGCAGGCGTAAAATCTAAATGCAATTTTATTTTAAATATTGCCGGTGTGCATTAAAAATGAAAAGGAAATACGTATGAAATGCAAGTTACCAATTAGCAAAAAAACAAGTACGAGTCCATAAATAAAAATAGTGGGATCCAATTCCCAAATAAAAAAAATTATTAAGCTCTTTTCTAAATCTTCAAGGTAGATTGTCAGTTGTCACTGTACAATGTGTACTTCAGATTTTTTATGCCAAGTTTCAAGTATGCATAAAATCCATTGCAGCGTGTGTATAAATCAAGTGTAAAGAAAAAATTTGGCAGTTTTACAACAGTTAAGACCACCAAGTGCAACAAACCATTTGAATGTCAGTCAGTAGATAGTAACCTCAAGGAATAACTCCCAGACTAATTATTGATTTGAGGTTGCCTTAAGACTAATAAGGATTTAGGTCAGGATCACTTGGAGGGAACATTTTAAAACTGCCAATGCTAATAAGATGAATCTCTCAGTTGACGAATTTTTCAACTATTTTGTACATAACGCTCACGTTGTGGTTTAAAACATTTTTCCGCTAAAAAGATCTTTCACTCAATTCTGAACTCAAATTTGGCCAGCCCCAAATTGAACTTAAAGTAAAGCAAGATTTTCCAACTTCAGAATTCTACTAGATCATTCTCTGGTTGAATTCAAGTCAGACTAGACCAGGTTATAATCCTCCGCCACGAACACCTTACACAGCCTCGTAGGCTGTGCTGCTTTCTCACATTAGACAAAAATCTTGACAATTTAGAAGCTAGAATACCAGCAATCTCACTATCACATAAATCGAGTAATGTACAAATAATGGAGAAACCTTGCTCTCAAACATCCGACCGAGCGTCTTTTTTTCCTCAAGGTCTCCAGCATGTCGTTGTCTGCTTGACTCAACCTCTTGCTGTACATATATAATAAATAGCAAGATCAATATATTAAAATAATAAACCAAATAAACCAGAGATGCTAATTATACAAATAAAATATTACACTTCCACATCAATTTAAGACAAAAACATGGAAGAGAGGTACAGTAGATGTCTGCCTCCGTAAAAAGAAACTTTGGAGGACTATAAGAAACTATAATGCATACCTGTTGTTCACGTTCATGAAGAGCTTCCTCTTCTGCTAGACGTCGTTGATAATCAGCTTCAATAAGAGGAGCAGCCTCTTCTCTTTTTGCCCTCTCCAAGTAATCCATTGTTTTCACAAGCCTCAGTAATTTTTTCTCCATTTCTTGCCTGTCCTTGAGTTGCTCACTCAGGGCCAGCTCCATCAAAGACTGCTTAGTTATCTTTTCCTGGATTAGAAATAAGATACATTATAAAATTTTCTCAGTTGAAATACCAGTAAGAAGGAAATAACAATTGGTTCTTAACGCACTCCCTCCAGAACCGGCCTCTTCCCTTTCCTCTTGCTATGTTTTTCAGTTTCCAGCAGTAAAGCTTGGGTTTCTTGAAGTTCACGTTCCTCTATTTCCCTAAGAATTCTTTGATTCTTCATTTGCTCAAACTCAGAGGCAAGCCTTCTCTGTTCTGCTTCTTCAGTTATTTTCTGTAGTTTTAGCCTTTTTGCTTCCTCTTCTCGTTCCTTGAGATTTTCAAGAAAATGATATAAATGCTTCATGTAACTTTAAATAATAACTATAAAAGTGAACTAAAAGTCATCATCTGTTCCAGATATAAAATGGTATACCATCTCGAGAAGTTGACGTTCTTGTTCTTCTTTGCGTTTTTCAATTATCGACTTGCGTGCAAGAAGTCTCCTGTGTTCCTTTTCCACGGTCTCCACTAAATCAGAAAGAGTTTCCCCTGATTTCAATGCGCTCCTTACAGGAGGGTGAATCATGATTCTTGCTTTGCTAAGAGATTCTGCAAAAGTGGTCAGGTGATGGAGTAGACCTTCTGACTCAAGATTCTGACATGGAAGTAGTTAAAAATAAAAGCATCACCACATGCATAATAATTCATTTGTTTCATAATAAATGATAAACTAATAAATGAAAATGAATGACATTAAGTTTTCAAGCATTCTCATGCAGAATAACAAAAGGATGGGTCATAATAAAGCAAAATTCTATACATCTCTTCCTGGTCGAGATTATCTTAACAGCATCGTAATAACGCAGTCTTACAAACCCCAATCATTAAGCCTACTACGCAGTTCACAACTAAATCAGCTGAATAAAGTGTCCTTTTTCATTTCTCTTACATTGTAATCGTTTTTCAGATACATGCCAATCCAAAAATAAGCCCATGTTTAGTTTAACAATAAAACAGATTTCTAGTAAATTTTGATAAAAGTTGATGAAATGTGTAGGTTCTCATAAATGTGTGGTTGAAAATGAGTTTCAAGAAAAATGAATTTTTGAAAATGGGGGCCCACCAGGTGCAAAATGTCCAGAAATCATGCCAAGCAAAATCTGTATTCAAAGCACAACATTAAGGCATGGTATTTTTTTCTGCAACTATCTGTTTAGTTAACCTAGCAAGCATTTATCAAGCCAATAAATTATTTCTTTTCTCTTAAATTCAAGTAGCGTAAAAGATAAGTTCACAATTCTCCAACAATTAATTGAAGCATCCTTTATCCAAAGGCAAAGCAAAAATTTAATATTCTAACCAAAAAATAGCCTTTCAGAGGTCATGCATACGAAATCTCACTAAACAACTTCCAAATAAGCACAACATTACAAGACAATACAGATCAACCGCTAGCACAGACGTCTTCATCATTTCAATGATTATAAATCCAGCAAAGACCAAATTCAAGTTTTACAATTAATTCCATCACCATGTAGTTGTTCCGGCAACATTAATTTAGTATGGAGCTGACAACTCTAAATATAAACTCATAATAGATCATGTCATCAAAGAATCACCAAGTAAAAAAGTTCGAAGTTACCTTATTACCAAATGAAATAGCACCCTTCATATAGTCCACTTTCATGGCTAAAAAGTTGTGCTTAACAGCATCCACGGAAATCTTTTCCATGATAGAGAAATCAAAGAAAGGGATTGTCTTAGATAAGTTATCAATATTCATTGTCTGATACACCTGTGATACCTGGAAACGGAAACCGGAAAAATAGGCAGGATGTGACACTGTCAAGGACATAAGCATTGGACAATGAACAACGCAACATCTGATAGTGATTCAAACCTGCTGCAACGACCTCAGAGTAGCAAGCTTTTCCAGTGAAGGAACATATTTAGACAACTGCACTTCTGGAACAGAAGAAGCTGAAGTAAGCTTACCCCCAAGCTTCGAGATTTTTGTTAACAAGGGCTGTACTTTTAATGCCAGATCTAAAGGGAGAAACTCGTGCTCTAGAATATAGTAAAGGTCTTTCACTTCCTGAGCGACACACGTCATTACACCTTTGGATAGCTACAGATAAATTCAAAGAAACCAAATTAAGAAAGAGTTCACCAAGAGCATTAAAAATACCAAATGAACCACAGAAACACTAGTCTCCATTGTATCGCAGATAAAACTGAAGTCCTCATAACAGGAAGGGGACAAAGGCAAAGAGAGAAAGAGACATTTCGTTGAAACTCAAGGATGCATAGAGACAAAAGACGGTATAGTACAAAATCAAGGAGGAACAGGTTCTAAGAGTCACAAATCAATTCAGAAACCTACTTACCAAGTCCGAGAGAAGCACCGTCCGAGAAAGCTGAAGCAGGTTTAAAGCCATCAGCTACCAGATGAAAAATAAAATAAAATGATAAAATGAAAACATAGATTGAGTTAAAACTTAATTTACCACTTCTCTGCTCTCAGTTTTGGGTTCAACATCAAATGCAATAATATTGGCTACCCTCAAACTTCGCTCTTTCTCATTTTCAAGCTCCAAATGAGATGCATCATATGACCTATCATAAGGAGGCACAGAAAGTGCGGCTAAAACAACAGATGATGCTATTAACTGCAAATCTTTCTGGCTCAAGTTCTTATTAAAACTTTTCTGAATTGAGAAGAGCTTAAGCCATGCAAAAGCATGATAAAGATGGTCTGATGACATCCAGAAAATTTCGGATAGCTTGGCATAATAAACAACCATCAAGGAGGATTTAGGTGTTTTCTTAACCATACACATCAACCCATGTATATCCTCAATAGAACGAAAAGCTTCCTGCAAGAACCAAGAAAGCAATAGTAACAATGTGTTTTCTATCAAGTCAGAAGTTATGTCAAAAACCACATTTATCTAAGAGTCAACATAAAACAGCCACCAACAAGACCTGCCAAAGCTCAAGCTCCGTGGCAACTTTCAGTTGTTCAAATCTGATATCCAGATACAGTTGCAAGCTTTCTGGAGCAGTAAGATCAGGCCTATCTCTCTGGTCTCTATACTTGTTAAGATTTGCCAGGTGGTTCCTGATGATTTCACATAACCGCCTAAATTCTGTAGTTCGCTTGTATTGCTTACAGAACTGGAAGGCACGGTGTGCAGTCATCTGCACATTTCAAATCAGAAGCTCAGTCACTCCTCATGGAACAAAAAGTGAAAGCAATGATTAGTCTTCAATATGCCAGTGGCATATAACAAAACCTCACCTCATTGACAGCCAGTTCATACAATCTCGACAAGTTCTTCAACATGACATATTGAATTTGAAGAAAATTGCAGCACGCAACAAAAATATTTTACATGTGAACAACATAGAGACTATCGAGATCCAATTTAAAGCTCTTCAACCCAGATCAACAGAAGAAATAAAGAGAGTATCCACAAGACTACAAGCTCATAATTTAATAAGATGAACAGCACCAAGTCTTAAACCTAGAAGGCATAAAACCTACAGAAGGTTTGACAACAGTTTCTTCATAGAAACCCAATGAAGTACGATTAGAAATCCCGTGGCATGACCCTTTTATATTCTGGAGGGACATTCGTGATAATTGCAGAGTCAAAAGTGTGTCTGCAGATACCGGATTATGGGATTCACAGCATTAATCCAAGATACGATTGATAAGCTCAAACTTGAAGTCCATCCTCAAGACAAACCAACACTCAAATCTGAATAGCAAAATTATATTACTTTTCAGAAGAATCACTTGAATGAGCATTTTAATAATCATCCCCGAGAATTTCAAGCCCGTAAAACTCATTAGACAAGATAGTAAAGATTCAAAGGTCTTGACTGCCTATCCAGCTAGTTGAACTGCAGGAATTTTTTTTCCTGTACGTTGGATTATATAAATGGTAGTAAAAATTTAACAGTTAGGTGCAACCTGAAGTATAGGAGGAAAAGGAGAGAAATATAAGTATAAGCACGACTCGGAGAAAGCTAGAAGGGTAAGCCCAGAAATGATTGTGTAGAAGGAGAAACATAAGAACAAAGAGGTGTAAAAAGAGAGGATACATATCTATCACAGTTTCTAGTAAACGGCTGGCAAAAGGGAACAGGGTCAAGTGGTTTTAGAAGCTCATCAATCAATTCAGATGGATAGATCATAGGGGTTCAAGAAAGTTTTACAAAACAGTCAGCACGCATGCTGTAAATAGATCGTGAGGAAAATCTAGTGAAAGGTTTGCCAAATCAACATCATAACCAAGAATGATAATCTCAGAGTGATCTTTCAGAGAGAGGGAGTTGAAGATACCAGTTAGGACCCTCCAAGAAATGAACTAGATAAATACGCATTCTCTGACCATGTCCACAAAAACGTGAAAAGAAAATATAACTTTTCATAGGAATTATTTTTGAACCAGGAAAAATATAATATAAATCATCTCATTTACATTACAAATTTACAATCACCGTAAAAATACATATCTACCTATTTTACACCTGGAATATTGTTTCCTACAGAATAAAAGTAAATACCACATGCAGTCAACTAATAAAATCAAACTCCTACTTCAAAAAAGGTGCCAATTAATAATTCCCTACAGTATGATGTCGCAAAACTGACCTACACCATAACTGTTTGTTGATTTTATAGAAGAGAAAAATCATGCTAGAAATGCATGCAAGTGGAAAGACAGAAATAAATTAACATATAAAAAAATGTTCTTTCTAGTAATTGATACTAAGAAGAAATTTTTGTAGTTATCGAGTATGAGAAACATTATTTTTGGAATGTGGGTGAGTACCGGCCGTAAAATTCAGGGCCCCGTGTGATTATCAAAAAAAAAAGAGTTGTTCCATTAGATTTTTCTGATTCTAAGAGATCAGCAACCTGTAGAATATTAGTTACGAAAAGGTTCACTGTAATAGCAGAAAGGAGAAAAATATTTGAATAACAAACTGAATGATGCATAGTCATGCTTATACTACTTAAAATATCTAAAATTACATACTTGATTGAGTTCATAGGCTCATTGGGTTATCATTGGAACTTTATAATTGTATTTTTAACATTTTTTTTTTTGTACTTTATTGAGGTCATAGGCTCAATGGGTTATCAATGGAACTTTATAATTGTATTTTTAACATGTTTTTGTACTTAACGCAACCATTAAAAAGTTAGATACTGAAAACCTCGCTCAGGACTTGCAACAGATAGCATGGTAATGAAAAAACACAATTTCCAATTGCAGATAAAAACCCTGGCATGCGCTGAAGAATATTCTACTAACCAAAAGTGCATTTAAGAATATCTCACCGCATACAGAGCCTCCAATCTTGAGTTGTTGCGTAAAATTTCCAAAACCGTTCTATATGTCTCCCACAAGAACTTAAACCATGGAGTGACGAGCTCACGGTCAGATCTGTCTTTTCCTTTTTCACCACTAACATAGCTCAACATCAAATCTTCAGGCCTTCTATCGGCTTCTAAATCATCTACATCTAGAGCTTCTTCTAAGGCCTGTGCTTGACTACGTGCAAGCTCAGCTTTCTCTGTGGACAGCTGCATGAAATGCTTTATCACCTCCTCCAGCGAATTAATGTTAACTTGTTGGCAGATACTACGATACTGAATAAGACCATCCTTAGCATGCCTGCCCCTCCTCATATCAACACATAGTTCTACATACTTGAACAGTATCCTCTCGTGTGTCCTTGTCCATGCTCTATACCTCCTTGTGGTAATAAAACTATGAAGGGCCTCAAGAGCTTCATGTTTTTGTCCAACGTTGATCAACTCTGCATCAGCACATTATAGGTTACCTCCACCAAACATATCAAGCATGTAAAAAGTGACATTTCGCTAGTATACAATACATGAATGTGGCGAAATCTTGAAGAAAAGAGATGAAATGATGTATGAGAACATCTGGACAAGTAAACAATGCATACTTCACAGTACAACCCTGAAAATTATTTGGAAGGGGCCAAAGGCCATAACCAATGTTTAATCATGTCTCGCCACAGTCTAATGCGTGGCAACATAGGAATTTGTATCTACCATTTCAGAAGGAAGAATTATATGGTTGTCGATGCATCTCTCATAATACTCATACTCAACATAATGAAATAATGGATAATTTTGAGTTTGCAACATTAAAAAGATGAATCAAGACCTAGCCAGCTCAAAGATTTTTGTGGCAACTGTAACGGGAGAGAAAAAATAATGCTGGACATACACACACAAAAAAAAGGTTGAATTGTAAAGAAAATATTGACCGTGGATTGCACCGGCTGTGACAAAATGCCGAGCAATAGTTATAATCATTCAATTATCACTCACCTTCAGCACGTTTCAAAGCATTCTCAGGTCTGGCAAAAGTTGCCATCTCAAGAATCTAACTGGCCTTCCAGCTGACTGAGGGACAGAATAAATAAAACTCAATTAGTCAGAAAATACTATTTGCACACCCAGTAGTTTTGATAAAACTAATCTACTATTCAACATTGAGCAAACAAACAAATACGTATGGAAAGCCACGTGGAGGCTTCAAGATTGAACACCGGGAAAAGGAGGCAAAGAGACAATATAGACACATTGAAGTAGCCCAAATACACAAAGTTTCAAGCTACGACCACAAGATTCATAGGAGTACAAGTTGTGAGGAGGTTTTTGGAGGTATATTGTGTGAGGTATACGCCTCATAACACCACCACCTCAAGGCTTGTGACCCAACAAACATAAAAAAATTTGTAGACCCATTTTGAGAATAGCTCATTGCCCACTACAACATTACAAAAATGCATTTCTCATAGACCCCCTTTGAAATAGTCCACTATTCTCACCAACTAAAATAATAGTTTCTTTATAGTTTTTATTTTTCGCACTTTAAATTGTTCAACTATGAATTTTGAAGATTGTTTATGGTGCATTATGAGTTTATTTTGCATTTTAATATATTTTGACATTTTTTCTGTTTACGGTGACACTTATGCTTCACCTCACAAAGGAAAAATGCTTCAGTACAAATTACGCCCTTTTAAACATTGGGATGCACCCAAAGGCTTAAGTCGTGTTCAACATGTACTGCATGATCCAACACTTTTATAATTTTTTCCCACTCTGATTCGAGTTTCTAGTCAACTTGGTGTGCATAATTTTTTAAGTAACGCTATTTATCGTCGTAACGATGGACCATTGGTGATGTGGCAACTCATTATCCCTCACATTTATCTCTCTCTCCTCCCCCTCTCTCTCGTAAAAATTGAACTATCCAATCCTATTATTCCGTAAACTGTCAGTTCACCGATATTTCATCGTCATAATGATAAATAACATTATTCAATTTTTCCAGATGATAAAATTTCAAACTTTTCATTACCCCTCCAGATAAAAAGCAACAGTTGAATCATCCTACACCAAGTTTCTATCATAAAAAAACAGAAATGATCTTTGCATCAACAAGTCAGGAAATTGTCCTCAATAAAACTTTTACTCTGAGCTAAAATCTTCTCGAGTACAATTTCTGCAAATGTGCTCAGACATCTAATAAAATAAAAGGAAACCCATGCCCCCAAAAAGAAACAATTTTCCCATTGCTCATTTTCTCATCAAAAAAATTTAAAATGGAGACTGCCACTAAATAACAAAAAAGATCAAAAAAATTCCCGGACAGTGAATCCTAAAAGTTGACACACTATAGACAGCAAAAGAAAAGACACAGACCGCTTTAAAATAACCAAAAATCATAATCGACGTTAAAAAAATATGACTGGTGTACCGCATGGAATCTATCAAAACAAATAATGATAGGCAGTAGCGAATATTATGTAAATTTTCTAAGTTTTATGAGCAAAAACAAGAGAATAATAGAAACGTACACCTCCAAAAACCAATTCTTCAAACACCAATCTACACACGCACGTACAAACACGTGCAGATGAAAAGGCCGACTATTGATTGCGGTAAGAACCTCAACCGAACGGATAAAACAGTGAATCAAAAATTTAGCCTTTTCAAACTATTAATCCTTTTCTGTCAGTCCAAAAAGTGCTTGAAATTAGGGTTTCAGAGGTGAACAGGAGATAAATACCAGGATCGATTTGCCGCAGCCGCTCTTTGCCCTAAAACCTGAGAAATGCGGCTGCCGGTTAATAGCAGCGGGTTAAAAGCTTAAAATGGCTGTTTTGCAAAAAAATGTCGATCGTTTTTTACTTGGCAAAGAACTTTGGAGTATGTGTTATTGCAAAAATGAAATTGGACGGAAGTAAAATGAATTACTGGAATTGAATTGTCTAAAATTTATTTTATTGAAAATTGTTAATTAATTGTATTTAATTAGTATAATTTTTCACCTAAAAAATATTAAAATTTTGAATTTTTTAGTATTTGTCTGGCTTTTTTCGTAAAAATTGTCCATTAAATGAATATAATTTGTTACAATTTGGTATAAAATTTGTTTCAATCGCCAAAAAATAATAAAAATAAAAAGTTGTCTAGAAAATCTATTTTCACCAAACTCATAGGAAAAACTTTTCCTTAAAAACCAAGACAATAGAAAATTTAGTCAATGAAATATACAAAAAGGTGAAAATGAAATTTAATTTTCAACTTCCATAAAAAATAAAGCCAAATCAAACAAGGCCTTATAATAAAGAAAAATAGCCTTCTACTTCAGTGTTGGGACGGTGGCCAGTGGAGTGGGGTGGCACCATTAAGCCCTGTTTGGTTTGCTTAAAAATCAATTTTTTTTTGTAGTTTTGATTGCGAGCTGGAATTTGGATGGAAATAAAATAAATTCTAAATAATTGAATTATCTATAACTTATTTGCATGAAAATTATTAATTAAATGTGTGTTTATCGATTTAATTTTTAAATTTAAAAATGTTATACTTGTTCATCTTTTATTAGTAGATAGATGAGAGAGAGAGAGAGAATGTGAATTCTCTGAAAAATAAAACTCTACTCTCCTAAAGAAAATATTTTTCTTGTTTTCGAGAAAATATGATCATATGATCAAAAGTTGAAAAATATTTTCCATGAAAAAAATACTAATCAAAAAGCACAGAAGTAAGAATTTGGTGAAAAAAATCATAGAAAATATTGGCAATCAAACCTTAATGAAATATATTTTTGAAAAAATTATAAAAATTGTGAATATTGTAGAATGTATGGTTAAAAATAAATTTGAAAAATAATGAATTTTGGAGATTGGGAATCAAACAACGTCTAACATTGAGCCCTGTTTGGGCTCTATTTTTTCAAATTATAATGAGGGAAGTAATAATTTTATAAAGAATGTGTGGTTAAAAAAAGAATGAGTGGTTGATAAAAAGAAAGAAAAAATAAATTTTAATTTAATGGAGGCCCAAAGGAGCTGAAGTAGAAAGTTATTATTATTATTATTATTTAAATTTTTTATTTAATTTTTGAAGGGATTGGACAAAATTGTACTAATATAAAGCAGGAAAATGCTAAGTGTACATAATAAGTGTACACAATCTTTGACACAATGTGATGTGGCAACAATCCTGTGGTTGATGTGAAAGTGTCAGATTTAAATTAAAGGTTTTGATCAATGCCACTTGTAATTGTGTAGACCATTATGTAAACTATTATGTACATGTAGCATTACTCTATAAAGCATGCGTCCCGCTCATGACACTCCTGGTCATATAGGAACGCGCCTGTCAAAATTACAAGAATCGTTCTTGAATTTGCAAAAAGGTGATTATTTTTATATCATATTTTAATCAAATTAAATTAAAGTTCGTTTATTTTTATTCATTAATATACTTATATTTTTAGTAGTTTTCTTCATCACATTCTTAGTTTTAACATTTCATTGATAAAATATTGTTAATGTGTTCTAAAATGAGGAATAAATATTTAATCGCATTTTTGAAGTATTATTTGTTTTACTTATTCAAAAAATATACTAAAAAAATAGTTTTTTACTCTATTTTAAAAAAAAAAATTGGAAATAAACCATAATCAGGAATACTTTATATTAGTACTTGTTTGGTCTCATTGTTTTTAAAATACATTTTTCTCTCTTATTTTCAACCATATATTTTTCAATAAAATAATATTATACGCACACAGAAAACTTTTCCTTATTTTTTAATCACATATTATCCATCAAATCACTATTACAAAATACATTTTTGATATACAGAAATAGGACTCAAAACAGGATCTTAGTTTGATAAAAAGTGTGACAAAAATTCCATTGTTGTCTGTTTATTTAGTTTTCAATTTAGAAAATACTATACTTATCCATTTTTTATTGATATGTAGATGGAACATGGAAGAGGGGATAGTTAAGAGAGAGAAAGAGATAGTGGATTACCTAAAAAATAAAAACCACAACGTCCTAAAAAAACGTTTTTGAGGAAAATATAGTTGTATGACCAAAAGTTGAAAAATATTTTTTATGGAAAAAATTGACAACAAAACTCTTCAAAAGTAGGAATTTGAGTGAAAAATGACATTTTACATGAAAAATATAGCCAATTAAACACACGTTCAATTGTAAAAAATTTCAAGATGGAATGATTTGTATATTTATTTTTTTTATCTGAGGTCTCCAAACGTCTAATTTTGGAATTGTTATTCCAAACGTTTTGTAAAGTATGCACTTTAAGAAAAAAAAATTGTCAAATTGACCAAATATGTAGCTATTGACATTCAGTTGACTAATTTTTAAGACCGAATGACCTATTTATAGTTTTCACTCAAACAATTTAAATAATATCGGTTATATTAACACCACAATTTTTACTTGTTGCACCATAATATAATTGTACTATATGTCGTCAAATTTTGCTTATCGTAGTACCTATGTTCCTATCTTTTTTAATCAAATTTTTATCTTTGAACTACAATTAATTAATATACCTCATTGCTGATGGTTGTTTCTGTCAAAATACCTCATTTTGTCACACTTATGTATTTTTTTAATATTTTGTCACACTTGTATTTATTTCAATGCAGTGGTGGGTCACGGTAGGGGTGGGGGTTATGGAAAGACGATAATATTTCCCCTTTTTTTCCTAAAAACTGTTTTTTTTTTTCCCCTTTATTTCATTTTTTATTAATATGTTTAAATTTTGTTAAATGGAAAGTGTGGAAAGACCAATTTGCTCTTTTTAATTTTTGGTTGAAAGTTAAAAAAGTAGACCTCACGCATTTAATTAACGTAGAGATCGCAAAAAAACCCGACAAACTCAATACCTCAGGGGGCCACACCCCGAATGGGGTGGGAATAACAGGGCAATAAAAATAAATTATAAAAAAAAAAAATTAATGACGTAGTAAACGGGGCAAGGATCCGCCCCGCCCCACCTTAAACGGGTAACGGGGCGGGTTGCCCCAACCACGCCCCG